CGGATTGGGAAGGCCAGAGCAGCTTTTGCGAACCTACGTCACCTGTGGCGTAGGCGTGACATCAGCTTCTCTGTCAAGGGTCGAGTTTATGATGCTGCGGTGCGCTCCATATTACTATATGGATCAGAAACCTGGCCGCTGCGCACCGAGGATGTCAAAAGATATTCACTGGTTGACCATCAATGCCTTCGGAGCATTGCCCGAATCTGGTTGGAACACCGGATCAGCAATTCTGAAGTACGTCGAATGGTATTCGGGAGAAATAACTCACCCTCGATAGATGAACTGATTACACTGCACAGGTAGGGCTGGCTGGGCCACGTGCTACGTACGCCAGTCGACCGACTTCCTCAAAGGGCTCTTTTTGCCTAACCAGTGAAATGTGGAAGAGAGGCAGAGGCGGTCAAACAATGACTTGGCAGCGAAGTATGCAAGCCATTACCAGCAAACTCAGCTGCGCTGGTCACTGCCGTCTTCCCGGATGGGGACCCCGAGACGGGTCACATCAATGGCTAGAGACATTATCAGACATGGCTCAGTAGCGCCCTCAATGGCGGTCGTGCATCAAAGTTATTGCCTTCAATTCACAGCTGCTTCCCCCCCACTTGACAGTGCTATATTAATGCACCAATTTACCAGCTCGCGCTTACAACGCGCAGCCACCTAAACATCTATCCAAGTCATCGGTGAAAGAAACTGCGGATGATAAAACCAGTGTAGGAATAGTACGAGATCCGTACAGCTGACAATGATGAAGATGGATGATGTGGTCAGGTGAACGGTATGCAAAGAATTAGGCTGACAATCCCCATCACGGTGGATAATAGGGCAACCCATGTGCGAAACAACCGGCCCAATGGATCCCAGTTCAGATTGGAACATGTTCGTGCGGTCAGCTGCATGTTCGATCTGCGTGTTAGTGCGACGACTTTAAACCGTTCAGTCAAGCAGTCCGTCAGGCTGTGGGTCGGTCGGTCGGTCCGTCGGTTGCTGGATCGGTGTAGCATTTGATCGGTCGGACGGTCGGATGGACGGATGGACGGTCAGTGGGCTGTAGAATATAAGTCGCATGTTTTATTTTGGGAAACCGCGTGGACGGTGCGCAAGCCTGATTAGCGCTGCTCAATATAAACAAAAACCCTAGACCCACACGCATCCGAATTTCACACCAACTACACACAGGCACACACAAGCGCATCGGCTAAATTTCGCTTGAAACAATCTAGTGTGCCATAATTAGTCTGTGCACATTCAAACGTGACATTGACCAATTGTAACTCTCTGGCCCATTTCAGCCGTACCATCAACCGATGAGTGTGAATGCTATTGTACACTACGTGCAACTGCCCGCCCGTTCATTAGCACATATATGAAGCAAGCGGCATGAATGTTTTGAGAGATCGGCCAATTGCAATTAGCATTGCACTGCTCTGATTCAGCTCATCTACCCGCCTGGCTGAGAGAATGGTATAGGCCAGATCGGCCAACTGGGACGTTCTTAACACGAGAATGAACATGTACAACTAGAAAATTAGAAGAGCAAGCAAACAACAACATGAGCGATCCACTTCACTCGCGTGCATGTTTTTCATGCACCAAGCCTACATGGAAGCATATTGATCAGTTCAAGTAGACTTCGGGAATTTTTGTGACCGTATGTGCTCAGGTGAATGGAATGCAACGAAGTGTGCTGACGAGTTCGATCCAGGCGCGGATTATTGTTCCACGAAAATGCACAACAGCCGGCCCTATGGATCCCAGTTCGGAATGGAACATTTTCGGGCGGACAGCTGCATGTTCGATCTGGGCGTGAGTAATGCGGCTTTAAGCCGTTCAGTCGGTCGGTCTCTCGGTGAGTCTGTGAGTCGTTCAGTCGGTCTATCCTTCGGTCGGACGGTGGGTTTATCGTTGTAGAGTTTGATCGGTCGTACGGGCGGACGTTCGGACGCAGGGACGGTCGGTCGGCTGTAGAATTTTGTCACGTGTTTTATTTTTGGAAACCGCGCGGTCTGTGCGCAAGCCTGATTAGCGCTGCTCACTATAAGGAAAGCCCTAGACCCACATTCATCTGCATTTGACGCCAAATATACGCAGGCACACACTAGCGCATCGACTACGTTTCGCTTGAGACAATCTAATGTGCCGTATTTTTTCTGTGCATACTTCAGCGTAACGCTGACTAATTTGAACTCCGTGGCCAATTTTAACTCTATCATCTTGCGTTGCCTCTGAATGCCCTTGTCTTTCTCCCTGTTGTTCGTAATTGTTTGTTGTAACATAGTTGTTTGAATGTTACGTACAATTTGTTTTGCATTTTCTTCTCCTTTTTTTACTGGCGTACTCGTTTGAATATTCTGAGCCTTATTTTTCTTAGCTGATGTTCCCTTATATCTCAATTTTTTAATTTTGCTTTAACAATTTTCGTCCAATTTCTTATCCTCATTCACGTCTGAATCCCTTATGTGTCAAAGTTTTCTTGGTGACCTTTCGAGTTCGTGTTTAATTTCGTCAACGATGATGAATAAAACATCTTCTGCTTCACAGGTTCTGTCCATATCGGGAATGCTATTGCAACTTAATTTGACGCTTTAACCCAAATCAATTCAATGTTTGAACTGAGCTCAAAGAAAGCAACATCTTTCTGGGCATTATATTTTGGATTGTTATTCATATTTTCAACGGGATTATTGCGTATCTCATTTTACGGTGGAGTTTCTTTGGTTCAATAACTTGAATTTTCTTGTGAGGTAAACTTGACCAATTTTTCGCGAACACCATATGTGAAACTTTGTGCTGTACATGTAGTTTGCACACGCAAGATTTGAATTCACATGAGCTATCGTCTGAAACATTTGATTCAAATTACGTGACAGTAGGTCTGCAACCAAACAATAGGTCCACAATTTTTGTCTTATCTGCATAAACGTTTAATGGCGTCTCTATATGCTTGTATCAAACATCATGTATGACCGTAATAGGTGTACGCCAACGCGTAAACTAATATCGTTTCACTTCAGTGTCCATCATCTGGGTTATTCTGCCACCTACTGTTTTGGGGCGTAAATTAAGCCGTTTTCCACAAATTTCGCGAGCTTTTCATCAATGTTTTTCTTTCATACATTTCAGCATCTATGACTTGTACGTTAGCTTGTATTTTGCCTAATAAGCTCAAAACCAAACTCAGTCAATTAGATGTGAAATATTAACCTACCAGCGAAATACCTTAATCTTGGGTCACAAGGTAAAATTACCCATAACGTCGACGGTCGAAAAACCACAACATTTCATTCCACCCAAACAACGGAATGCATAAGCATGTTACGCGTACTCATCCACTTACCATCGATTCCAATAAACGCAATGATCTCATTCCACTGAACATCACGATGGGAAAATTGTTGGCTTGAGATAACAGCTTTGAAGTTTAACAGCCATCAAAGGATACCTTGCAACGCGAGTGAGTTACACTCATTCGTATTCAATGGCTTCAGTGAAGTCGATGGCTTTTAAACTTTGCAATTACTGGAAAGCCTTGAACGCACTTTTAGAGATGGTCCAAAAAGTAAACCGCTAACTATGATCCTAGTCATTCACTAAACAAAGTTTGAGTTAGGGTACCGTGAGAGATGGAATGCCCGGTCAGCTCTTTTGTTTACAGCCGGGGACGTTTTAGCTGAATCGCAAATTAGGATCGCTGTTGAGTTCCAGATTGTATTTCCGTACAGTAAACTTGACCTATTGACTGCTTTATGAGCTCTACACAGTACAGCATACTTCACTGTTGTGTAGCATTTAAACGTCATAATCTACTTGATTTCTGAGACTATTGTTGAGAAAGTGAGCACTGAGTGATGAGAAGTTAACAATAATATTGCTCTAAGTTAAGGCGCATTTCTCCGTTTTGTTCAGAAGCACAGCGGGGGCCCTCTTGATCGTAATCAGCCATGTTTGGTATGACAGGGCTACATTAAATGTATTACACGTGTACTAGGTTCTCGGTTTATATTGGGTAAAGATAGGGAACCATCCGTTTCATTTGCTACTTCAGCGATAAAAGTGACACGCTTGTTAACGGCAACGTGGAATAAAGGATAATCATAAATGGGCATGTCTCGTGTAGAGATAGATTGTGCAGGAAAACAAAACTGCTCTAAATCTGGGACAAAGGAGAAGTGGATTATTGTTGTGCACCATAATTTGGTGGCCACGTTTGTTCGGTGTGAAACTGCAAGGGCCAGTAAATCTGCGAACAAAAAGGGGCTGGTTGACTGTGAAACACCCAGTGTTCTAGTTATCCATAATTTAATCATCGGGCAAGATTCAGACCCAAATATATGTAGTGCTTATATATATTTTATATATATATCCAGGCCAGTGGATTCACCTAATACAATTTTATTTCATTTTGACTTATATCCGCTCTTTAATGTGCAGGTCCATCTTGAACACCCCAGAAAATAATTCTGTGGCAGCAATATATAAATTGCCCTGCATTTCGCAATGTCCCGAAGCAACATTTTTGTGTATCTTGGTGTTGCTATTTCGACGGACACCGTAAGCAGATTCATTCTAATACTTTGTTTTATAATCCACAGAAATGAGATATTATCACGCAGTAAAGCCTTCACTACAGTCACGAGTCTCGGTGAAATCCCACATAGGCTCAAGCCGTTTGTTGATATCAAAATGAGAATTCTTCTCGGGGTTCTACTGTGCAGGTGAACGAAACAACCCAATTTTCACACGGGTTGTCAGGGAGATGGAAGGCGGAGAACCAGCTGTTTAAAGATGCGATCTGTGATAATTTGCTTCCATAATGTTTCAGAGTAGACTGCTACTTCAAGGGTGCACAGGCACCCCATAGATAATGCTATTTGCTACAGAGGGGGCTGTACATTCACACGCATTATTAATCGCGTTCCACCCCATCAATTTTTAATGAAACCATTTGCATATGTCTAAACTTCCCATCACATGCCAAGTCCATTTAAATGCCTTAAACAATCGTTTAAGCTTAGTGCTTTCAAACGAACAACAATATCTGATAGGCGATACCGAGATGCATCAATACGGCACCATAAAATAGATTGAACATGTCGTAATATGGGGCACAACAGCCTCTGCAAGATGCAATAAATCCTCTTTGTTTTCACATTTACTTTGAAAACTAAGGTGAACGGAATGCTGCAAGCCAGTGATTAACTGAGGTAGCTGGACAATTTTATTATTAGTGCTCGACGGAACCCATCCTTTGGCTTAATCACTCAATACTGACTAGTTCAACCAGGTGTAAGCGACATATAATATAATATAATAATAATAATAATAATATAATATAATATAATATAATATAATATAATAACCACAAAGGCTCGATCGGGTGCAACTTTGTCTATAACAGTCATGACTTGGGTAAAACCTGCGTGAGGACTTGTAGGAAATTTCCCGTTCGCCACTTTGTTTTCTGTGTGACATGATTTTGTCGTTCTTACCACCGTCGGTGGTGTTTTCATTCTGATTAGCGATGTTATTGCGCATGGTGGGAATGCTCAGTTGCTGATATCTTATGGGCCTGGTTAAAATCAGCTTGAATGAGCACTTCTTAAAAACAAAATTGGCAAGTGCGTGAGTTGAACACGAGGTTGCTTTGGCTGTCTGCATGGTTAGATTCTGCCAGCTTAATGTGTTTCCACCAGGATAAAAAGCCCTTGCACGCGGGAGAAACGGCGAATCCTCCATGAACAATTATCTTGGGATGGTTTGTAGAACCGGAGTTGCAATTGGGTTTGTACGCCTTCTGAGCTGTACGTTGAAATAGTTTGCATTTTAAAACGTATCTGCCGGATTCTTTGCGTAGTTAGATGCTGTTGCCTCCATTAGCATGGTGCCAGAGAAAGCGTAATGTGGTATTGCTTCCACAGCGTTCACAGACTTGGCCGACGGAAACAGCATGTACGCACGCTCTGTCGTTTGATCAACCTGTTTTGGACCTGTAATCTGTGGGGCATTTGAGACCAGTTCACGAGTAAAGAAGGCGTTTCTGTAAGATTACACGATTCAGTGCAGTGGCGCACTCACTCGGAGTGTTCAGATTGATTTTAATTGATTACTGGTAGACGATGTATGCATCCGCGTCAGGCAGGATAAAAAATATGGCAACGTGAAGAGAGCAGTACTTGCAGCTCTATCTGGGTATAATCGGCAGTAGTGTTTTGGGTCTATCGCTTTTCAACAAACAACCGCTAAAGTGAGTAAATGATAACTATTATTTGTAGGCAGGTCAAAACATTAGAGCTTCAAATAATTGCTGAAGTTTTACCTATTATCAGATTATAATTTCCTCTGAAGGTGGTACTTCTATAGGTGAGCTTAATTCTTCTCTGGTCACCATCAATAAATAAACTTGCAATTAAAGCGTCAACTCCACGGTTAACAAGATCAATATCCAATGTGTTTGACTTGATTATTCTCAAGATACAAGGCTCATTTCGGGCGGCCAAACGTTAACTGACATGCAAAAATCAAACCCATTCTCAATCGTTCGACAGTAAACCGCTGAGGGTGGGTTCAGCGTTTTAGCATTTTGTTAAGGTCGCCCACGCGAAACCAAAAGTTACTAAATATGCTGATGGTCGCTCCTTCGAAATGGCGGAAAATTCGGCTGGGCCTGCTCGATGCAACTGCTCTCAATAAAAAAAAGCAGAAAATATTATTAAGACAACATCACATGTTGTCCTTTCCGTTGTAATTTGTTTTTTATGCGCATACGATTAGTCTGCTGAAAGAATTGCAGTGACAGTATCGTCCAAAAAGGATAGTTAAAACGCCAATCCAACGAGCTGGGTATATCCTCATTTTATATTTTTACAATTGCCACCGGTGCGTAGAAGCCTGTTTCAAACAAACAACGTTCGGAAACTATTTCTTGTTATCAGGTCTTCAGAATGGTCTCCAATAAATCGTAACTTTTTCAGGGACACAGGCGATGGTGAGATTTTTGTCAATACTGGTACAAGAAAACGGGGCACAGTACAACGCGGCCAACAAAGACGGCGGAGAGGTAGGCATCATTTACTCTTGTTACGGAGGCGGAAGGTTTGAATCAGCCGTTGCTTAACCGCAGATTCTGATACATCGCGATGTGGACGAGTACCTGGCATAAATGTATGTTCCACAAACAGATAAATGTTGTCTACACAGCCTCTACCAAAAGCGTATGTGGGTGGTTGAAGAACTGTTAGCTGCTGAAAAGAATCGCACTGCCGAAATCATAGGTCACAAAATCTTGAGAACAAATGAACGAAACCAATGCAAACATCTCGATCTCAAATGTCTCCCATACAAGGCACGTCCATATATCCATTATTAAAAATTACGCTTGGACCGATTTGAAACAAGTGGCGCGACTGGGTCATATTTTCAAGATTTCATTGCATAAAATGAGACATAACCGAATGATCACTAGATTTTATTGCTGTCCTCTTCGTGATTCTACGCATCCACCCTTCAGACTCAATGCATGTGAAGAAAAGTGCCTGTCACGCCGGAGGACATAACTGCCAGCCAAGTTACTGGATGAAATTTCGGTCCCAAGAGTTGTATATTCTGGGCAGTAATTTGCACTGATGGGAAACTTCATCCACTGCTAATGGCTTGCAACGCATCAGTTTACGTTTTGGACCCAAATATCAGATGTTTGAACACCTTCAACATAGTGTATGGTGGGTTCAGTTCATCCATGGCTGACACGGAGCACTCAAATTTACTTCAAAAATGGAGATACTTTTACTAAAGCTTTCACGAGCCTTCAAATTCGTTAATAAATTGTGACAATGTGGTGCCTCTTAAAGTGCATAGCAGGAATATTATAAATATACAAACACACCAGGATTTTGCGTCAAGTTGCATACACTGGCGTACTTGTACAAAGCAAACGCAAACGTTTTGCTGGCAAATCTGATCATGGATATTCGATGGCAAATTTAGAAAACTATGGTACTTACATATTTACATCCTTATTATAGACTTTTTGAGCACCTAATTCTGATTTTTACCTTCTTATGTTAGGTAGGACTTTTTCAAAGATGTAGAAGCCGAAACATTTACTGGGCAAAATGCAACCCAAATGTAACTGGCATTCCTCTGACTAACGCCAAACGTTAGACACAGCAGCCGGAATTTAGTTTGTGCGCATTGTGCTTTTTCCAGGGATTTGATCACCGAACAATTAAGACATCAGCACCAATGACGGCAAACTTTCCTGAAGATAAGTTGGCCCACTCACTGAACCCAACATGTAGAGAGATTTGGCTCATCGCATTCGCTTTTTACAAACAGTGAGGGTAGAATTGCGTCAGAATAATGGTTAGGCAATTCAAAAATATCGCTGTAGAATTAGCTTGGTAAATAACGTAGATTTAGGCCGATTAGCGGTGTGGAAAATCTTACGTCTAGAATGTTAAAGAATGTGCTCAAAAGCTTTCGAAAACCTTGTTTATGTTAATTCATTTTGGCTTGATGGACCCCTGAGTACATCACAAAGATTCAAATTAGAGTCCCGGTGCAATCTATCAATAAATCATACATTTAGACCTACTGGTTGAACTCTATTTTAAATTTCTCAAAAGCTATGTGGTGAGCATTTTTTTTGATTCCGTCCGAAGGTTCTCGACAAAACTAATTTTAAGAAAATCAGCAAGTGAAGTGCTTGTACACGACCGGTTGTTTTTGAAATTCCCAGGCATTTGGCGTGTTTCTGAGCAGTGTTGAATATGAGACCATCAAGATTTGCTTTAGTTGCTTTTATCTCTGAATATTTGATAACACAGGTAAGAGTGACTGACTTTAAATTTTTGTTTGTTTGTATTTTTATTGAACTCTGACAACGCCTGACTCAGTTAGCTGGCAGAAGGTAAAATGTTTCGATGTTGGTAATGTTTTGGAATATTGGTAGCTCGGGTGTATTGGATGGCAATTGATCAGGTGGCTGTTGATCTGTTCGCCGAGCTTGGCAATTGATTTGCAAACGTTTCGTCACCATTCGAGGAGACATCTTCAGTGCGCTGTTGGCTGGGTAGTTCCTCTCCTCGTGCCTGCGTTTATATAGTCTACAAAGTGCAGCCTTTGCGCTGTAACCTGGATTCTGATTGGCCCGTTCTTGATCTGTATTGCGTCGTGGTCGGCTTATCTGTTGGTTTGTGGCGTGCCTCCTATTTTTAGTAGCCTGCTGTTCTATTGATTTCTTCTTTGAGTCCTTGTCCGGCCTCGGGTTCTGTGGTTCTGGATTTCCTTTGTCCTCAGAGGCTGGTAGGCAGGATCAATCTCAATGTGCCTGTTTATTGCTCCACCGGTGGAGTACCACGCCTCCATGAACTCGCGTTCTTTCTTTGTTCTTGCTTGGCCCAGTATTCTGACGTTATTCCAATCGAAATGGTGTCCTTCCCCATCTCCGTGTGCAGAGATGAGCGACTGCATTTGTTTCAATTCCCGATAGATTATCAATTTTGATGCGAGTTACGATGCATGATTTACTCAGTGAAGAGCAACTGAATCCGAGGTGTATGTGCGTTTGTGTACGACGATCAAAGCTGAAGGGATCACAAAACTGCACCAGAAATTATGCCAGAGATATCAATTTACTCGTTGCGATCACTGAAAAGGACACCGCAAAAATACTTCTCAGTTTGTGTAAGGTTCATTAGAAGCCCATTTATAACATCAGTAGCTAACCTCTGGTAGAAACCTAAATTTGCGAATTCCGGAGAGTTCACACTGACATGTTTGCTGAATACTCCCTGACAACAGCATAAATGAGCAATACATATAAAATGCTACGGTGTACATATATTACACCATCGGTTGGGTGGAATGATACTGAAAAATCAATGAACACGCCATCGAATTTTCGTTCTTTTCAAATTTATGGCTTATTCCGGCAATATCGCACCGAGCCGAGGGAGCGAATCATTAGGGAACCCATGGGTATGCCACACACTTGTTCGTGGGCCAAGACAAAACTAATTTTCTGTGGATGGTGTGCACTCATAAAGCACGATAACTGTTGATAACCACAGGAAATGTATCGCATGGTTACGAGGAAAGTTAGAAAAATCTTGTGACAGGGTCAAGACTGCTAATATACGTGTAATTTTCAAGCAGCTCGTACAGCTGAACCCCATTTGACAGAAAAGATTCCGTCAAACTGAACGGTTCAAATAAGTGGCCGGTAAATTCTTCGAGAAATACACTCATTTGCAAATCAATTTGGTTTTCACGGGAGACTCAAGTGAATCTCTCGTTTATGATATTCTACAGCTAAACGTGCTGCACGCAGGCCGCCTCAGGATTCAGTTGGTACGATATTCGAGATATCGCAGTATATTTTCATAAAGGAAAATAATCACAAGTTTGCTGAAAACTCTTCGATAGCCCACGACTCATCAGGTAGGCGCAGTCCCCGAGTTTCCGTCAACCTTATGCTGTGTAAGCAAGGAGAACACATATTTTCAAGGTGAACTGATTGAAATTACGGTTGCTGAATCGAATTGAAACGTACAGGTGAGGAGCAGCGGAAAACCAAAGGAGTTCTGAGCCACAAAATCTAGTTTATTTACCGTATTTTTTTCGAACTTGAAGGATGACCATTGCGGAACTTTTGCGGAAGGCGGTTGATGTGTTATAACGATTATGACCCAAAAAGAAGAACGAAGCAAATGTGTCCAAAAGGATATGCCGGAATTATAGTGTTTTGATTTTTCGTTGTCACATTTATGGTGTACCTACAACCACAATCACGTTGAATGGAAAATTATATCCTGATTATAGTAACTCATTAGGAAAATCGCTTACAAAACACCAAAATACCACACTAATGATGAGACTGTCAGAATCACCCAAACAGGAAACAACTTGATTCGCCTATCTTGGGGCCCATCAAGCAGGCGAAGTTCTCGAGATTTCCTCAACTTTAGGATGCGCTTGAGCCGAAGATACATATCATTGAAAATTGATCATTCTCAACCAGCTAGTTATTTAGGTGTTACAGTTAGTTGAAGGTTAAGATTATAGACTAGAGATTCAGCTCGAATTCGGGCTACGCGAAGCACTCGATTATGAGCGTGAATGAATATGCATTCAGGTAAGAATTCTTGAGAGATTAATAGGGTTCGTAGAAAACCGCACAAAATCCTGAGTTTAACCTGTCAGCCAAAAGCTACTTCTTTAGGTATAGTTACTTGCGAGCAGTTTACTGCAAATTTATTTTGGAGTCGCTCGGCAACCGGTCTATTATATTCTTCGCGTTTAAAAACGAAGGGTCCTGAGAAAATTTGTTTTACCGGATTTATCACCCAAAAGTCGCGTATAATACAAAAAGCAACTTTCTGAGGCCTCAAAACCAAAGTACCAGGGATTTTAATTAACAATCCGGGTAATACAATGACGATCCTTGGGTGCGTACTGTGTCAGAAGTTAGTTTTTATCGATCGGCATCAAACATCGTGGGATATTTTCACACAATAATTATTTGGTACCGATAGCTGAATTCTAAAACAGATTTGCGTCAGTTGCGTGACATCAAGTTGCGATCAGGTAATCGTTTAGCACAACCCAAAGCCAGGCTTACATGTTTTCACTGTTAGGTTGGCTCAAGCGAGCCTGTTAGCAAGTCGCCCTCAACTTCGAGCATCGAAGCTTCTTTCATAAATCCTCAAAATAAGGTGTTAAGGTGGTATTCACAGAACATATTAACAGGCTGGTCTAAATACTATCCGAAATGTCAGTGTTGCAAGTTATTTCTAAGACAAATTCGTTAGGATGCTTTAGAAGTAAGACTGAACGCGTGCGGGGTTGTTTTTAAAATTAAGCAAGAAAGGGAATACGTCTTCGAAATGTTTTGCCCGACCCATTGTGTAAAGGTTTCCGTACACTAGCATGATTCGCCAACTGTGTTGATTTAGAACCTAATCCAAATTTTATTACAGCGTACAGATTTAAAGCCATCCTGTACCATAATAAAAGCTGGGTGACCGCTCCTGCGTTATACAAACCTTTGTATACCCT